CTCTGATTTTGTGAGTCTGACACAAGACGTAGGTACGAGTCTGACTCATCGCCTGAGAGGTGAAAGGTCAAAGTGGTGCAGGAACCTTGGTGCCCGACACCGGAGACACCCCGAGGGGCCCTGCCGGCCGGAGTGACGGGCATCTGCCGTGTACGCCAGCGAGGGCACGACCAGCGGTCGACTTCGAGCCTCATGGGCGGTTGGGGCTCCCGTGCAGCACGCGCGCGCACGCACCGAAGGAGCGAAATGCATCCTCGCTGGCAGCCTTGAGACGGTGAATGCAGAGGCGTGGACAGCCGCGGACTGTCTCGGTGGTTGCAAGCCAAGAGGGGCGAGAGACTGACGGGAGGTGTGGGTGCTCGCTCATGGACGGCGCATCTAGCGATTGCCTTGTTGTTGTAACAGATCTTTCACAATTATTACATCACTTATTCACGTCACTAAAAAGGGGATGAGTTCATTTTGGTGGGCGCTCATACGTTAGCTGATTATTCACCTAGACATTAACCTTTTTTTTCATCATACATTGGTTCGTACGGTTGTGTAGGTCGCGTGTTTTCCGTGTATACTGTAGAAGAGGAATGGTGCAGAGTTGACGTGATTATGAGAGTAGTTGATGCTTTAATCTATCCAATACTCGGGACACTCGGTCCACGACAAATCCGAGTGGTGTATTGCTGTTTCGTGAGTCGTATTGTTTAAAAGCCTGAACTGCTGGACGGATCCATGAACCTGGTGACCATTGTGGAGAATTTCTTATTATAATTGATGTCAGAAAACCCCTAGACACGAACTTGCGAGTCATTTATTTATATAATATGACCCTCCGCATACAACATGACCGCAGAGTCTCGCCTATTGAGCTCGTTCAGCAAACCCTGCGGTGCAGGCTCCTCCCTTCGGGTTTCCGAAAGCTTCTGCAGTGGTGGTGGGGGTGGTAGTGTAGCGGGTAGTGTAGCGGGTAGTTTAACGACGCTGCGCTACGGACCTGGTGACCCGAGTTCGATTCCCGCTCACGGCCAACACCAGGCGACGATTGTCTGAAACCGGTCCTGGGCCTCCCCTAGATCGACTCTGCCTCAAATGAGTACCTTGTGCGATGTGTAAATATCGCCACTGGGGATACAAAAGCGGTCGGGCATGGTGCTGGCCACCCCCCCCCCCCCACCCCTCGTGTGCCGTGCCGGCCTTCATCGGTGCTCGCTAACAGTACTTGCCCCTACAGTCTGTTACAGGCTACACGGGGGATTACTCTTTGGTTTTTTCGGTAAAGTCACGTAGAAATAATAAAAATAAAATGATATAATAGCATACGACGTTTCGATTGCAACACAAGCAATCATCATCAGGTACAGAAGAGCTAAATTTAAGAGAGAGAGGAAACACATAACCGCAGATATATATACAGACCCTAAGTAGAGGGAATTAACACAGACATACCAGGGGACACAGAGAGAGACGGAGCAACACTAAATCAAACAGGGTTTAGCAAAATTTGGAAACAATATAAAGCAACACAGACGGTCGGTTAAAACACAATTAACGCATGGTCTTGTAGATTACGCTATTTCAAAGATTGCTAAATTGTGTGCCCGCCTCTCCCCATATGTCTCTTTGCGGTCTGTGTTCTCTCTTAAATTTCATACTTAACTTACAATTTAGCAATCTTGAAATAGCGTAATCTACAAGACCATGCGTTAATTGTGTTTTAACCGACCGTCTGTGTTGCTTTATATAGTTTCCAAATTTTGCTAAACCGTGTTTGATTTAGTGTTGCTCCTTCCCTCTCTGTGTCCCCTGGTGTGTCTGTTAATTCCCTCTACTTAAGGTCTGTATATATATCTGCGGTTATGTGTTTCCTCTCTCTCTTAAATTTAGCTCTTCTGTACCTGATGATGACTGCTTGTGTTGCAATCGAAACGTCGTATGCTATAATATAATTTTATTTTTTATATTATTTCTACGTGACTTTACCGAAAAAAACAAAGAGTAATTCCTGCAGTCACGAAAGCAACCAATCAAGTTTTTACACGGGGGATCTTTGTCTTTGGTGGGGGGAGGGGGGGTGGTCAGCAGGGATGGGGGGGGGGCGCTTTCGGTGATTTCCCGAAACCCGTTCGCGTCACTTCCCCGCCGCGGGGCGCACTGCGATCCTGTGCAGTGCGCTCGCTCATGGCACGGCACCTGTCTGTGCGGACACGACGTTTGAACGCCGATTCGGATGCAATATTGAAGACGGGGGGGGAGGGGGGGGGAGGGGGGGGGGGCCCTACTGCGGTGTCCACGACTCGGCGGTGTACATCCCGTACGCACTGAAAATGAATGATGAACATTTTGGCGTGAAACTGCTGCGTAACGTAACCCCTAAAACCAACGCGTGGATCGTATAGCATGGTCTGCGATAGCATACGTTACTGGCTTGTGCACAGGAGCCTACACACGCAAGCGACTACGTGTGCGTGCTTTCTCGTTAGGGTATAGCATAATAATAATAATGCACGACTGTGACAACGTCACTTCTCTGCACTTGCGAAGGGGGCTGGAGACGGCCTTCGGCAGCGATGCGCTCTGGCTGCATGACGTGGATTCTTGAATTCCGAGCGAATTCGGCGAAATGAAGTGGAGGGTGACGTCGCTCGTGTGATGCGCTGTGCATGGAGCGGGCAGCGTCGCTTAGATTACCCATGGGGCGTTACTTTGCAAATAGTCACGAGGCTAAGGGGCCGTCCATAAATGACGTCACGCACATAGGGGGTGGGGGGTTTGAGAGATGTGACGTCACATCAAAATGCGTAACTTTAAATAAATGTAGACAACACGTTCTACTTAATTAAATAGACTTTTTAATAAATGTTTTCTCCTACAACATCAACGTGCAGCGCCACATTAAATACGCACTACAATGACAATAGTTTAAAGCGATTTGAACCATGTTTAATTTGGGGGGAGGGGGGGGCAGAGCTTTGTGACGTCATATTTGAGGGGGGGTCTGACTTTTTGTGACGATGGGGGGGGGGGGGTCAAAAATCTCCAAAATCGCGTGACGTAATTTATGGACGGCCCCTGATCTATTGAGTTATAGTGCAGCGTGAACAATACTGTTGTCTTATTTATTGATCGTGACGCAGTAGTTACAGCCTTGTGGCCGCAATAACAAGAGTGCCCAGTGCATGTTCCGGCGAGACATTTAGGACAGCGCTTCGAACTCGGGGCCACAGAGAGAAGTTCGATTCCTGACCATGGCAAACGTCAGTGGTGAGGGATATCTGTACTGGATCTGGTCCGATATGACCTCTTATCCACCAATACTGACAAACCGCACGGTAAAATAACCCCCGTCACCAACAAGGGCGTTTTGAAGTCCTTCATTCATCAGTGGATTGGCAGAGTCCTGGGGACGTATTACTCTTACATTTGAATGCGAGGGGATGACACTAAAACTGAACGCAGAGTCGTTAATGAGGGACGTATTTGCTCTCCTGCTACTGACAACCATTTCCCTGGAGTTGGTGATCTCACGCAATCGTGTTCTCATCTCTTCGTGATCCACCAACCCATCTTAACTAGAATACAGTAATCAGCCGCCGGTCACCACCTGTAAGAATCCAGTCCAATGCCTAACCTTAGTCAAGACTTATTAAGTTTTTAACGCCTCAAAAAAAATCAATTAGCTCCTTAATGACATGGTCCTGCCCGACAACTGCGTGACGTCACACGCCATGGCTGATGATCGGCACAGAGCGTTTAGAATAAGTGAGAAATCATCTAAGAAATGAAAAGATTACACTATGTAACACAATTTTTGTTCCTGGGTATTGTGTTATTTTTTAATTGCTAATGGCTATTATTCCACGCAAACTTTGCTTTTGTGACCAAGACTTTACGTGAAGGAATTACACAAATGCACCACGTTTTCTCTCTGAAAATACGTACATTTCAAAATATCACTGTCCTGGTCACAAAAGCAGTTTGTGGGGAATAATAGCCATTTTCTGAACTTTTGAGGCATAAACAATTAGGAAGTAACATTTACTACCCAGGAACAAAATATGTTTTGTTACACAGTGTTGTTTATAAACAAGATGACGTTATCACGTGTGTAGTGGGTGCTGGCGGCTTGCCAACAGGGTCCCAAGTCCGCACGGCCGCAGTGGAGCACCATGCGGCCTGCGTGTGGCCTCCACACCTTTACAAAGTTGCCTTTAGAGTATTTCGATTATTTTGCTGCTGTAAATGTCCACACGATGAGCCACTTTGAGCTATCATTTGTGGCCAGGTCGAGTCTGAAAAATAAGTTAATAGTTTAATACCGTATTCTTGGTTCTTTCGGTAAAGTCACGTCGAAGGGAAACAATTAAATAATACAAATATAAAACAATAAAATATGAATATGAATCCCTGCAGTCACGAAAGCTTTAAATCAAAATTTAGCTTAATACCGGTTAAAGATAAAAAAAATATTTTACTTTTATTTGTATATACTTAGTGATTTAATCTGGGATTGAAGCTTTCGTGACTGCAGGAATAAATATACTCATTGGTTCTTTCGGTAAAGTCACGTATGTAGAAATAAAATAAAAGTGAAATAATATTTAAATTTTATTTAATTTTTATTTTATTTCTACATACGTGACATTACCGAAATAACCAATGAGTACTTAGTGATTTGTTTTACAATTCCCGTATTTTGCACTCCTGTCGTGTTGTTTGTTTTGTTGTCGTAACGTTCTGAACCCATTCCCTACTGGAACATCTGTGAAAAAGAGCTTCATAGCTCGTCGGATTTCTCCAAGTATAAATAAATAATATGATTCCGGCCCGGCGGCAGCGGCCTCTCCGTGCTGGGCGGCAATGAGCGTCCCAGTACCCAGGTGGCACCGTTGTCCACAACTCCTCGCGGTGGCGTGAGGTGGCCTCCCCCTGCATGCCCTGCTGTGTGGCCCATTGGAGCGGGCGCTGCGGGATGTGTGGCGGACTAAGCATTGGCACGGATGGCTCCATCAGATTCGCAGTCTTTATTTTGAAACCGGTAACGGGAACAAAGAACATAAAACGAGCAACAATACAACCCAGAATTGTTTGCTTTAGTCAGCTGACGTATAAAGAGTGCATTTATGATCAAATGTCATGATGTAAGGTGATGTGAGATGCTGAGGTATTACATGCTAGACAAATTAAAATATTCTAATATAAATCTACGTTCGTGTGAATCTATAGAATCTGTAGGAGTGTGAATCTGGATTATTTATATAACAATAATGGATGTAGCTATATTTTGAATCTATAGTGGTCAGATCTATGCCATGTACAAATGATTTCAACTCTAAAAAGGCACCCATACTACAGGACAGTCCTCAGATAATGGCACATGAACCAAGTTATGAAGTTTGACAAATGCAATTTATGTATTGATGCATTATACAGTGAACAATATAACATAAGGATCCATCAGCTGACATGTCAAAAGTGCATTTATAATTAAACGTCATGTTACAGATGGTACAATCAAAGGTGCGAACTATAAAAGAACAGGACTAAATGTTTCATTTTCACCGGTAAATCTGTCACTTCATCAGATTATTCCAGGAATTTAAACTTTTAAGAATACTGTGCTTATAATCATACGGCACGTTGGGTCGTTAAATAAAAGATGGCCGCACTACAATTGCGGTATTCAAGACTGAAATAAAATAACAAAACGCGAAACCTTAGATCGTAATCAACACATATTGGCAATCCGCTCAAAACAACGAGACAATATACCTTTCAAATTGGTAAACAGGCACTTGAGCAATGGCGTGGGTAGTGTGGGTCATATTGTCTATGTTTAATCAACAACCACATTCAGACAGACGTATACAATTTTCTTTTGACTATTACTATACACAGACACATACAAAACTAACATGGAATGGTATGTATGCAGTTGCAACCGTTGGCATACTCTCTTCTTAGACGTGACATTCATGTGGGCCCTCGTGTGTGTTGCCACATCCAACAAATGAACTCAAACACACATCACTGGTCCGAGATCCGAAAATAACCATCACAGGCTTAACTATTTGGATGAAGATTTGTAAAAGTTCTATGAATATTTACGCAGCTTAAATATATGTACGAGTGCAGTAACGATAGCATGAACAGTTTTTTTTTTGTCAACATCACACATCTGGCGCTGATGACCACACGAGATTTTGAAGAAGGCAATAGTTGCAGGTCCACCCTGACCATGGCCAACTCGACTGAAGACCGCTCATGAATTGTGTCCGTTAATTCTTCAGGTGGCGCGTGCGTGGGGCACGCGACTACCCTCCCCGCAGACGGCCCTGCATGGTGATGGTGGAGTGTTGCTGAATCCCGTACGACTCCAGCTTCTGATCGTCCTCCAGGGTGTGGCTGCCGAAGGTGAGGATCTGCTGGTTGACCGCTATGCCCGCCTTCTGATGGACCTTCTGCTTCAGTGAGAGCACCGAGTTGGAGAGCTTCACCTCTATCGTCAACGTTTTGTTCGCGAGCGTCTTCACGAAGACGTCGACGGCCTGCGTGGAATATGAAATGAAAAGTTAAAACAATGCCATCGCGTTACAAATGCCATCTTCACTTAGGCTATGCACAGTTTTCTTTGTATTGCAGGCAGAGAGGCTGTGGTTAATTTAGAATGTCCATTCGTAGAATGGTGGCATAGGTGCTCTACCACCTGCTGGCTGGCTCCACAATGAATGTTACAGTGAACAGAAGAAACCATTATCAGGCCATACTATTAAAGCAATGTAATGTGACGCAACGTGACACTTATACACATCGAATCAGACTCACGATAGCTGCATTAATTAACTACCAGAGGGGATTAGTTTATAATGTCAGTGTTCTCGGTCACTTCTGTAACTGAACGGGGTAGCTTGCAGTCAGGGGCGGCCCTAGACAAGTTGCCAGCAACTGGCACATTAGGAGAACCATGCAATCGGCATCCCCCAAATCCCAAGGGCAGATCTACGCTGAGGTTTTTGGTAAACTGGGAAACGTTTTGCCCATATTTTCCACTTCATGTTTTTAAGCGTATTCTTTTAAACAGAGGCGTAATAATTCGGTTTGTCCGTCCAACGAATAAATTCTCAAATGTTGATAAATTAATTATAATTCATATTGCCTCTGTGCAATGCACGGGAACTTGAAATAATGACATCATTATTATTTTACTTGAATGTTTTTTTGTTTACTCGAATTTGGTGCCCCACTTAACGTGGCACCCGAGGTAACCACCTGGGTCGCTATATGGATGGGCCCTCCCTGCTTGCACTCAAGAGTAGTGAACGAGCTGTGTTTATCCGTAGCCTGCAAGAGGCTTTTGAAAGTCAAATTCGGCCCTCGGTAAGGAAAATATTCCTCAGCCCAACCCGAGGTCAAGGCTAGCTGAAACAGAAACGCATTTACAAAGTCACTGTTCTAAATTTGTTTTAGCATTTTCTCACACCGGCCAGAGGTCGCGTTGGCGATTCCGAGTGCTTACGTTATCCACGTGAAGCAGGTTGACGGTGGAATTCTGCTTCAAGCCGCACTTGGCGAGGGTCGTCCCGTCCTGCAGCGCGGTGCCCCCGTAAGCGAGGCGCTGCTGAGCGGGCGACACCTTCCACTTGCTCTGGATCCTGGCTTTCAGCTCCAGCACCGTCTCGGACAGCTTCACCATCAGCCTCAGGGACTTTCCCTCCAGGTCCTTCACGACGACCTGCACAACCTGCGTTGGGGAGCGGGGGGTGACGGGAGATTGCACGGCATTTATTTTCAACGAAGGATGATACGCATGTGAATCGTCTACAGCTATCCACTTAAAGTGCTGTACATTACAATGCGTTGGCGATTATTTTTTTACTCGGCAAGTGGGGCTCAGGCTTAGCAGCTTTTTGACTACCCCGTGAGAATACAGTTAAAAGAAAACAAGTATTAAAACATTCAGATTGCACTGTAATGTTTTCACCAACGATGCATCGTGTAGAAATATGTCAATGAACATTAAACGTTAAAAACAAGTCACGTTTCAGCTTGCATTTGCCATCTATGTTGCTTTCTGTTTGATGTACATTATAACAGCACAGTTTCATTCACCGCCTGTACGTGTTCACAAATCTGCATGCACGCAAATATTGTTGCGATGTTACCGTCGGCCTTCAGCCATTGGCAAAAATATTGTCAACTTTACAAAGTTGCGCGGTGCGAATATCAGAAGTGTATCCGGTAGGTCGGTGGCATTGTGTGGTTGCGCCTGGTGCAGCTACACCACTGCTGTTGCGCGTGCCTGCCTGCCAGAGTGAGTGCGTGCCACTCACCTCGTTTGGGTTCAGCATCGCGAGAAACGTCGTCTTCATTTTGCTGCTGGGCGCCTCCTCGACGCCAACGACCGTGATCCTCTCCGGATCCCAGACGCAGTCCTCCTCCAGCTCGCTGGTCACCATCCCGCAGCCCCGCGGCACCCAGGCGGTGTCGTAGCCCTCGTCGTGCCAGGTGAGACGCAGGGGGTGGTCTTGGCCGTCGATTTTCTTCACGCGCCCCACGTTCACCCTGAGCTTCAGAATCACTTTGGTGTTCTCGGGCTTCCCAATCGGATACCGCCTCGCCTTCTCGATGTCGCGGCTCACGTAGACGCCGGGCCCCAGCATGCCGCGTGCGGACCGCCTGAACCCCTGCGTGAGGATGCCGTGTGCCCCCTGCACGTCGGTGCCGTGGTACATGATGTAGCGCCGGTCATCCTTGGGGCTCTCTCCTCCATGCAGGGAGCAGGGGCCATTGCGGTCGCCGATGGTCTCGGAGCAGTCCATCGTCGTGGAGCGGTGAAGGCGAGAGGATCTGTAGGCGGTGCTGAAAAGCGCAGCGCGATTTCGGGGATGGTGAAAACGCAGCCTCGCAATTAAAACCACGAGCAGACGAAATGGCACTTCGTTAATTCGTCATCATAGGCTACGTTCGTATTTGTCGAGCAACCTCGTGTGGCAAAGTTACAAACAGGTGGAGCCTATTGTTGCAAAAGTTAATGTAATATATACACCTACAGCTATTTTGTTAAACCACTGCTGGATGAGGAGTTCTCCAATCCTCGGCGGTCGTGGGGGTTATTTGACCATACTTCAACGCTCGTCAGTACGGGTTGGCGAAGGTTCACAGCAGAGACGCGGTGACATAGAAATGTCGTTCAACAATCGTACTGCACTGCCGTCCAGTAGCTTCGCTCGTAGCCACAGCGAGAGGTTAACGGGACGCGGTGTACCAGGTGCAGCAGGAGGCCGTGTAGGTCACTGGGCGTAGCAACTCGACTCAAGTCGGAGCATCCTGAGTCGAGCTCCACAGTAGTTCAGTTCATTTATTTGGTATAGCCCTGTGAGCCATTCGGCTCTTGAATCGGGTGCAACCGCAACAAACAAAAACATGGACAAGAAACATCTTGAAGTGACTACGCGCAACAGAAAAATCCAGGGAAAAACAGCAAAGTCTTCCAGAAAAAGCACCGGATGTCAACGCTGTGTGCAAAAATCCCAGTGGGATGCAAGTCAATCAACAACAACAACAACAACCATAAGACAGTGTATATTAAAGTTATCAGTCTAACTCTGTACAACAACAAACAAAAACGGCTAATCCAAAACATTTTCGAAATCACCAAAATAAAACTATAAAAAAATGTTAGCGGAACTGTGATTCAAATGTAACAATAAACGATAGCAGCATCGCACAACCCACAACCTATTGTTGTTGTTGTTGCACTGCACGCAGCCGGGCTGCGGTCGACGCAAGAGGCAGCATCGGCAGAGAGCGCAGCGACCGCGGGGATCTCACCTGCTCCACTTGACTCGTCCCGCAAGAGAAGAAGAAGAGGCTGCGTGTGTCCCTGCCGTTGCGCGCTGCCCTCCTTATAAAGTCGCGCACGCGCCTCCCCCTCCAAGCGCAGAGCCCCGGGGCTGGGGAATTCCCGCAGAGCCTCTCCGACTGAGTTCAATCCGCACAGCGGTGTCGACTCCTCCCTTTCGGGTTTCCGAAACCTGCCGCTGTTTGTGACCGTGGTGCTGGAGGTTTGACAGCAGAGGTCCTACTCCGAATCAGTCGAGCGGCACTATCTCTCCATCATCGGCTGCGCGATGCTGCGTGGAAGCTCCCTCGTCTGTCGCGCCGCAAGAAACTTCGGGTCTTCTCGACCACAGTCATGCCCTCACTTTTCTGTGCTTGAAACATTCAGGCTGGCATGCCTGTGATCCATGCTGGGTTTAACCAGGGCGGGGAGTGGGGGGGGCGAGGAGTGGGGTAGCGAGGAATGAGGGGGGGAGAGTGAGGAGCAGGGACGAGAAGTGGGGGGGCGAGGAGTGGGGGGGCGCGAGGTGTGGGGGGGGGGGGCGAGGAGTGGGGGGGCGGAGTGGGGGGAGGGGAGAGCGAAGAGTGGGGGGGGGGGGGCGAGGAGTGGGGGAGTGAGGAGTGGGGGGGGACGAGTGGGGGGGGGCGAGGAGTGGAGGGGCGAGGATTGGGGGGGGCGTGGAGTGGGGGGGGCGAGGAGTGGGGGGGGGGCGAGGAGTGGGGGGGGGCGAGGAGTGGGGAGGGCGAGGAGTGGGGGGGAGGAGTGGGGGGGGTTGTTTCGGTGGTTTCCCGACACCCGCCGCGTCATCACCGCTCTGCCGCACTTGATGAACACAACACAACACGCTCTCGCTCTCACACCGGTCCGCACCGACGCAATGTTTGGAGACGTTTTGTCATCGATGTCTCTCTGTTCGGACGAGCAATTGGTCGTCATTAATCTCCACCGGTATCCCTGAGCCAGTGGTGGATATTCCACATTCCTATGCTCGGGCCAGTACGTCCGCAGCACTTCCTCCCGTGACGTTCCTGTAAAATAGTGCACCCTTTGAGATCCGTGATTTCAGTGGGGTTGCCACAAGTGCTGGTTTTCTCCAAAAGGTCTTCTTAGTCTCTCCACCACTCCGTGGCTGAACCTAAACACAAACATGTAGTAGGGTCATAGCATCGGCTGCAATAGCCCAAGTTGTGAGTCGCCTGCAACATAACCTGCACACCCAAGCAACCGCGTGTGTGCATGCACTCCTATCGTTGTTCTTCCGCGCACCTCCGATTAGCGCGGTTGGCTACGTACGGTGCGAGATTAAGTTACACCTACGTGTACGGTTTTATAATTGACGATGTATGGCAGTGGACACGTAGCTTCTCTGCACTTGCGAAGGGGGCTGGAGACGGCCTTCGGCAGCGATGCGCTCTGGCTGCGTGACGTGGATTCTTGAATTCCGAGCGAATTCGGCGAAATGAAGTCGAGGGTGACATCGCTCGTGTGATGCACTGTGCATGGAGCGGGCAGCGTCGCTTAGATTACCCATGGGGCGTTACTTTGCAAATAGTCACGAGGCTAAGGGGCAGTCCATAAACGAGGGCAGCGTGAACAATACTGTCGTCTTATTTATAGATCGTGACGCAGTAGTTACAGCCTTGTGGACACAATCACAAGAGTGCCCAGTGCATGTTCCGGCGAGACCTTGAGGACTGCGCTTCGAACTCGGGCCCACAGAGGGAAGTTCGTTTCCTGACCATGGCCAGCGTCAGTGGTGAGGGATATCTGTACTGGATCTGGTCCGACACGACCTCTTATCCACCAACACTCACAAACCGCACGGTAAAACAACCCCCGTCACCAACAAAGGAGTTTTGAAGTCCTTCATTCATCAGTGGAATAGCAGAGTCCTGGGGATGTATTACTCATAAATTTGAATGCGAGGGGATGACGCTAAAACTGAACGCAGAGTCGTTAATGAGGGGCGTATTTACTCTCCTGATACTGACAACCATTTCCCTGGAGTTGGTGATCTCACGCAATCGTGTTCTCATCTCTTCGTGATCCACCAACCCATCTCAACTAGAATACAGTAATCAGCCGCCGGTTACCACCTGTAAGAATCCAGTCCAATGCCTAACCTTAGTCAAGACTTATTAATTTTAACGCCTCAAAAAAAATCATTTAGCTCCTTAATGACATGGGCCTCCCCGACAACTGCATGACGTCACACGCCATGGCTGATGATCGACACAGAGCGTTTAAAATAAGTGAGAAATCATCTAAGAAATGAAAATATTACACTATGTAACACAATTTTTGTTCCTGGGTATTGTGTTATTTTTTAATTGCTAATGGCTATTATTCCACGCAAACTTTGCTTTTGTGACCAAGACTTTATGTGAAGCAATTACACAAATGCACCACGTTTTCTCTCTGAAAATAAGTACATTTCAAAATATCACTGTCCTGGTCACAAAAGCAGTTTGTGGGGAATAATAGCCATTTTCTGAACTTTTGAGGCATAAACAATTAGGAAGTAACATTTACTACCCAGGAACAAAATATGTTTTGTTACACAGTGTTGTTTATAAACAAGATGGCGTTATCACGTGTGTAGTGGGTGCTGGCGGCTTGCCAACAGGGTCCCAAGTCCGCACGGCCGCAGTGGAGCACCATGCGGCCTGCGTGTGGCCGCCACACCTTTACAAAGTTGCCTTGAGAGTGTTTCGATTATTTTGCTGCTGTAAATGTCCACACGATGAGCCACTTTGAGCTATCATTTGTGGCCAGGTCGAGTCTGAAAAATAAGTTAATAGTTTGATACCGGTTAAAGATAAAAAAAAAAATTCTTTTATTTGTATATACTTAGTGATTTAATCTGGGATTGAAGCTTTCGTGACTGCAGGAATTACTATACTCATTGGTTCTTTTGGTAAAGTCACGTATGTAGAAATAAAATAAAAATTAAGTAATATTTTAATTTTATTTAATTTTTATTTTATTTCTACATACGTGACATTACCGAAATAACCAATGAGTACTTAGTGATTTGTTTTACAATTCCCGTATTTTGCACTCCTGTCGTGTTGTTTGTTTTGTTGTCGTAACGTTCTGAACCCATTCCCTACTGGAACATCTGTGAAAAAGAGCTTCATAGCTCGTCGGATTTCTCCAAGTATAAATAAATATTCTGATTCCGGCCCGGCGGCAGCGGCCTCTCCGTGCTGGGCGGCAATGAGCGTCCCAGTACCCAGGTGGCACCGTTGTCCACAACTCCTCGCGGTGGCGTGAGGTGGCCTCCCCCTGCATGCCCTGCTGTGTGGCCCATTGGAGCGGGCGCTGCGGGATGTGTGGCGGACTAAGCATTGGCACGGATGGCTCCATCAGATTCGCAGTCTTTATTTTGAAACCGGTAACGTGAACAAAGAAAATAAAACGAGCAACAATACAACCCAGAATTGTTTGCTTTAGTCAGCTGACGAATAAAGAGTGCATTTATGATCAAATGTCATGATGTAAGGTGATGTGAGATGCTGAGGTATTACATGCTAGACAAATTAAAATATTGTAATATAAATCTACGTTCGTGTGAATCTATAGAATCTGTAGGAGTGTGAATCTGGATTATTTATATAACAATAATGGATGTGGTTATATTTTGAATCTATAGTGGTCAGATCTATGCCATGTACAAATGATTTCAACTCTAAAAAGGCACCCATACTACAGAACAGTCCTCAGATAATGGGACATGAACCAAGTTATGAAGCTTGACAAATGCAATTTATGTATCGATGCATTATACAGTGAACAATATAACAAAAGGATCCATCAGCTGACATATCAAAAGTGCATTTATAATTTAACGTCATGTTACAGATGGTAAAATCAAAGGTGCGAACTTTAAAAGAACAGGACTAAATGTTTCATTTTCACCGGTAAATCTATCACTTTATCAGATTTTTCCAGGAATTTGAACTTTTAAGAATACTGTGCTTATAATCATTCGGCACGTTGGGTCGTTAAATAAAAGATGGCCGCACTACAATTGCGGTATTCAAGACTGAAATAAAATAACAAAACGCGACACCTTAGATCGTAATCAACACATATTGTCAATCCGCTCAAAACAACGAGACAATATACCTTTCAAATTGGTAAACAGGCACTTGAGCAATGGCGTGGGTAGTGTGGGTCATATTGTCTATGTTTAATCAACAACCACATTCAGACAGACGCATACAATTTTCTTTTGACTATTACTATACACAGACACATACAAAACTAACATGGAATGGTATGTATGCAGTTGCAACCGTTGGCAAACTCTCTTCTTAGACGTGACATTCATGTGGGCCCTCGTGTGTGTTGCCACATCCAACAAATAAACTCAAACACACATCACTGGTCCGAGATCCGAAAATAACCATCACAGGCTTAACTATTTGGATGAAGATTTGTAAAAGTTCTATGAATATTTACGCAGATTAAATATATGTACGAGTGCAGTAACGATAGCATGAACAGTTTTTTTTGTCAACATCACACATCTGGCGCTGATGACCACACACAAGCAGAGATTTTGAAGAAGGCAGTAGTTGCAGTTCCACCCTGACCATGGCCAACTCGACTGAAGACCGCTCATGAATTGTGTCCGTTAATTCTTCAGGTGGCGCGTGCGTGGGGCACGCGACTACCCTCCCCGCAGACGGCCCTGCATGGTGATGGTGGAGTGTTGCTGAATCCCGTACGACTCCAGCTTCTGATCGTCCTCCAGGGTGTGGCTGCCAAAGGTGAGGATCTGCTGGTTGACCGCTATGCCCGCCTTCTGATGGACCTTCTGCTTCAGTGAGAGCACCGAGTTGGAAAGCTTCACCTCTATCGTCAACGTTTTGTTCGCGAGCGTCTTCACGAAGACGTCAACGGCCTGCGTGGAATATGAAATGAAAAGTTAAAACAATGACATCGCGTTACAAATGCCATCTTCACTTAGGCTATGCACAGTTTTTTTTTTACTGCAGGCAGAGAGGCTGTGGTTAATTTAGAATGTCCATTCGTAGAATGGTGGCATAGGTGCTCTACCACCTGCTGGCTGGCTCCACAATGAATGTTACAGTGAACAGAAGAAACCATTATCAGGCCATACTATTGAAGCAATGTAATGTGACGCAACGTGACACTTATACACATCGAATCCGACTCACGATAGCTGCATTAATTAACTACCAGAGGGGATTAGTTTATAATGTCAGTGTTCTCGGTCACCTCTGTAACTGAACGGGGTAGCTTGCAGTCAGGGGCGGCCCTAGACAAGTTGCCAGCAACTGGCACATTAGGAGAACCATGCAATCGGCATCCCCCAAATCCCAAGGGCAGATCTACGCTGAGGTTTTTGGTAAACTGGGAAACGTTTTGCCCATATTTTCCACTTCATGTTTTTAAGCGTATTCTTTTAAACAGAGGCATAATAATTCGGTTTGTCCATCCAACCAATAAATTCTCAAATGTTGATAAATTAATTATAATTCATATTCCCTCTGTGCAATGCACGGGAATTTGAAATAATGACATCATTATTATTTAATTGGAATGTTTTTATGTTTACTCGAATTTGGTGCCCCACTTAACGTGGCACCCGAGGAAACCGCCTGGGTCGCCTATATGGATGGGCCCTCCCTGCTTGCACTCAAGAGTAGTGAACGAGCTGTGTTATCCGTGGCCTGCAAGAGGCTTTTGAAAGTCAAATTCGGCCCTCGGTAAGGAAAATGTTCCTCAGCCCAACCCGAGGTCAAGGCTAGCTGAAACAGAAACGCATTTACAAAGTCACTGTTCTAAATTTGTCTTAGCATTTTCTCACACCGGCCAGAGGTCGCGTTGGCGATTCCGAGTGCTTACGTTATCCACGTGAAGCAGGTTGACGGTGGAATTCTGCTTCAAGCCGCACTTGGCGAGGGTCGTCCCGTCCTGCAGCGCGGTGCCCCCGTAAGCGAGGCGCTGCTGAGCGGGCGACACCTTCCACTTGCTCTGGATCCTGGCTTTCAGCTCCAGCACCGACTCGGACAGCTTCACCATCAGCCTCAGGGAATTTCCCTCCAGGTCCTTCACGACGATCTGCACGACCTGCGTTGGGGAGCGGGTGGTGACGGGAGAGTGCACGGCATTTATTTTCAACGAAGGATGATACGCATGTGAAGAGTCTACAGCTATCCACTTAAAGTGCTGTACATTACAAAGCGTTGGCGATTTTCTTACTCGGCAAGTGGGGCTCAGGCTTGGCAGCTTTTTGACTACCCCGTGAGAATACAGTTAAAAGAAAACAAGTATTAAAACATTCAGATTGCACTGTAATGTTTTCACCAACGATGTATCGTGTAGAAATATGTAAATGAATATTAAACGTAAAAAGCAAGTCACGTTTCAGCTTGCATTTGCCATCTATGTTGCGTTCTGTTTGATGTACAGTATAACAGCACAGTTTCATTCACCGCCTGTACGTGTTCACAAATATGCATGCACGCAAATATTGATGCGATGTTACCGTCGGCCTTCAGCCATTGGCAAAAATATTGTCAACTTCACAAAGTTGCCTGGTGCGAATGTAAGAAGTGTATCCGGTAGGTCGGTGGCATTGTGTGGTTGCGCCTGGTGCAGCTACACCACTGCTGTTGCGCGTGCCTGCCTGCCTGAGTGAGTGCGTGCCACTCACGTCGTTTGGGTTCAGCATCGCGAGAAACGTCGTCTTCATTTTGCTGCTGGGCGCCTCCTCGACGCCAACGACCGTGATCCTCTCCGGATCCCAGACGCAGTCCTCCTCCAGCTCGCTGGTCACCATCCCGCAGCCCCGCGGCACCCAGGCGGTGTCGTAGCCCTCGTCGTGCCAGGTGAGACGCAGGGGGTGGTCTTGGCCGTCGATTTTCTTCACGCGCCCCACGTTCACCCTGAGCTTCAGAATCACTTTGGTGTTCTCGGGCTTCCCAATCGGATACCGCCTCGCCTTCTCGATGTCGCGGCTCACGTAGACGCCGGGCCCCAGCATGCCGCGTGCGGACCGCCTGAACCCCTGCGTGAGGATGCCGTGTGCCCCCTGCACGTCGGTGCCGTGGTACATGATGTAACGCCGGTCATCCTTGGGGCTCTCTCCTCCCTTCAGGGAGCAGGGGCCATTGCGGTCGCCGATGGTCTCGGAGCAGTCCATCGTCGTGGAGCGGTGAAGGCGAGAGGATCTGTAGGCGGTGCTGAAAAACGCAGCGCGATTTCGGGGATGGTGAAAACGCAGCCTCGCAATTAAAACCACGAGCAGACGAAATGGCACTTCGTTAATTCGTCATCATAGGCTACGTTCGTATTTGTCGAGCAACCTCGTGTGGCAAAGTTACAAACAGGTGGAGCCTATTGTTGCAAAAGTTAATGTAATATATACACCTACAGCTATTTTGTTAAACCACTGCTGGATGAGGAGTTCTCCAATCCTTGGCGGTCGTGGGGGTTATTTGACCATACTTCAACGCTCGTCAGTACGGGTTGGCGAAGGTTCACAGCAGAGACGCGGTGACATAGAAATGTCGTTCAACAATCGTACTGCACTGCCGTCCAGTAGCTTCGCTCGTAGCCACAGCGAGAGGTTAACGGGACGCGGTGTACCAGGTGCAGCAGGAGGCCGTGCAGGTCACTGGGCGTAGCAACTCGACTCAAGTCGGAGCATCCTGAGTCGAGCTCCACAGTAGTTCAGTTCATTTATTTGGTATAGCCCTGTGAGCCATTCGGCTCTTGAATCGGGTGCAACCGCAACAAACAAAAACATGGACAAGAAACATCTTGAAGTGACTACGCGCAACAGAAAAATCCAGGGAAAAACAGCAAAGTCTTCCAGAAAAAGCACCGAATGTCAACGCTGTGTGCAAAAATCCCAGTGGGATGCAAGTCAATCAACAACAACAACCATAAGACAATGTAGATTAAAGTTATCAGTCTAACTCTGTACAACAACAAACAAAAACGGCTAATCCAAATTTTTTTCGAAATCACCAAAATAAACTATAAAAAAATGTTAGCGGAACTGTGATTCAAATGTAACAATAAACGATAGCAGCATCGCACAACCCACAACCTATTGTTGTTGTTGTTGCACTGCACGCAGCCGGGCTGCGCTCGACGCAAGAGGCAGCATCGGCAGAGAGCGCAGCGACCGCGGGGATCTCACCTGCTCCACTTGACTCGTCCCGCAAGAGAAGAAGAGGAGGCTGAGTGTGTCCCTGCCGTTGCGCGCTGCCCTCCTTATAGAGTCGCGCACAGCGCCTCCCCCTCCAAGCGCAGAGCCCCGGGGCTGGGGAATTCCCGCAGAGCCTCTCTGACTGAGTTCAATCCGCACAGCGGTGTCGACTCCTCCCTTTCGGGTTTCCGAAACCTGCCGCTGTTTGTGACCGTGGTGCTGGAGGTTTGACAGCAGAGGTCCTACTCCGAATCAGTCGAGCGGCACTATCTCTCCATCATCGGCTGCGCGATGCGGCGTGGAAGCTCCCTCGTCTGTCGCGCCGCAAGAAACTTCGGGTCTTCTCGACCACAGTCATGCCCTCACTTTTCTGTGCTTGAAACATTCTGGCTGGCATGCCTGTGATCCATGCTGGGTTTAACCAGGGCGGGGAGTGGGGGGGGGCGAGGAGTGGGGGGGAGAGCGAAGAGGGGGGACGAGAAGTGGGGGGGGCGAGGAGTGGTGGGGGGGGGGAGCGAGGAGTGGGGGGGAGAGCGAGGAGGGGGGACGAGAAGTTGGGGGGCGAGGAGTGGGGGGAGGGCGAGGAGTGGGGGGGGGGAGAAGTGGGGGGAGGAGAGAGCGAGGATTGGGGGGGGGCGAGGAGTGGGGGGGACGAGGAGTGGGGGGTGGGCGAGGAGTGGAGGAGTGAGGGGAGGGGAGAGCGAGGAGGGGGGACTAGGAGTGGGCGGGTGCGAGGAGTGGTGGTGGGGGCGAGGAGTGGGGGGGGGCGAGGAGTGGGGGGGGCGAGGAGTGGGGGGCGAGGAGTGGAGGGGTGAGGAGTGGGGGGGGAGGAGTGGGGGGGCGAGGAGTGGGGGGGGGAGGAGTGGAGGGGGCAAGGAGTGGGGGGGGGGGGAGGAGTGTGGGGGGGGGAGGAGTGGGGGGAGGAGTGGGGGGGGCGAGGAGTGGATGGCGGAGGAGTGGGGGGGGAGGAGTGTGGGGGGGGGCGAGGAGAGGGGGGACGAGTGGGGGGGTGAGGAGTGGGGGGAGGAGTGGGGGGGGGGCGAGCAGTGGGGGAAGGAGGAGTGGGGGGGGAGGAGTGGGGGGGGCGAGGAGTGGGTGGGGGAGGAGTGGGGGAGTGGGGGGGGGAGTGGGGGAGGCGAGGAGTGGGGGGGGGCGGAGGAGTGGGGGGGGGCGAGGAGTGGGGGGCGGGCGAGGAGTGGGGGGGGGGCGAGGAGTTGGGGGGGGCGAGGAGTGGGAGGAGTGGGGGGGGGGGGTGTTTCGGTGGTTTCCCGACACCCGCCGCGTCATCACCGCTGTGCCGCACTTGATGAACACAACACGCTCTCGCTGTCACACCGGTCCGCACCGACGCAATGTTTGGAGACGTTTTGTCATCGATGTCTCTCTGTTCGGACGAGCAATTGGTCGTCATTAATCTCCACCGGTATCCCTGAGCCAGTGGTGGATATTCCACATTCCTATGCTCGGGCCAGTACGTCCGCAGCACTTCCTCCCGTGACGTTCCTGTAAAATAGTGCACCCTTTGAGATCCGTGATTTCAGTGGGGTTGCCACAAGTGCTGGTTTTCTCCAGAAGGTCTTCTTAGTCTCTCCACCACTCCGTGGCTGAACCTAAACACAAACATGTAGTAGGGTCATAGCATCGGCTGCGATAGCCCAAGTTGTGAGTCGCCTGCAACATACCCTGCACACCCAAGCAACAAAGAAATGATCAGTCTATAATTTTAATGGCAGGTTTATTTGAACAGTGAGAGACAGAATAACAACAACAAAATCCTGAGATGTGTGCAAACCTGGTGGCCAACTACAATAAACGTCTGACCTCTGTGATTGCCAATAAGGGTTTTGCCACCAAGTACTAAGTCATGTTTGGCAGAGGGGTCAAATACTTATTTCCCTCATTAAAATGCAAATCAATTTATAACATTTTGACATGCGTTTTTCTGGAGGTCAGACGTTTCTTGTAGTTGGCCACCAGGTTTGCACACATCTCAGGATTTTGTTGTTGTTATTCTGTCTCTCACCGTTCAAATACACTTACCATTAAAATCATGGACTGATCATTTCTTTGTCAGTGGGCAAACGTACAAAATCAGCAGGGGATCAAATACTTGTTTCCCTCGCTGTAGCTTCTCTGCACTTGCGAAGGGGGCTGGAGACGGCCTTCGGCAGCGATGCGCTCTGGCTGCGTGACGTGGATTCTTGAATTCCGAGCGAATTCGGCGAAATGAAGTCGAGGGTGACGTCGCTCGTGTGATGCGCTGTGCATGGAGCGGGCAGCGTCAACTTCGAGTACACATGGGGCGTTACTTTGCAAATAGCCACGAGGCTAATCTATTGAGTAATAGGGCAGCGTGAACAATACTGTCGTCTTATTTATAGATCGTGACGCAGTAGTTACAGCCTTGTGGCCGCAATAACAAGAGTGCCCAGTGCATGTTCCCGCGAGCCCTTTAGGACTGCGCTTCGAACTCGGGGCCACAGAGGGAAGTTCGATTCCTGACCATGGCCAACGTCAGTGGTGAGGGATATCTGTACTGGATCTGGTCCGACACGACCTCTTATCCACCAATACTGACAAACCGCACGGTAAAATAACCCCCGTCACCAACAAAGGCGTTTTTTAAGGTCATCATTTAGCAGTTGATTGGCAAAAACCTGATCATGTATTACCCAGATTTTGATTGAGGGGATAACACCAAAACAGAACGCAAAGTCGTATTTGCTCTCCTGCTACTGACAACCATTTCCCTGGAGTTGGTGATCTCACGCATTCGTGTTCTCATCTCTTCGTGATCCACCAACCCACCGCACCAAGTACCTGGACTATCATCCAGGAATCAGCCGCCATGTAAAAAAAGTGCAATGTTTGATTCTCGTCATGACGTTTTATTTTAATAAAACTTCGTTTCAGAACATTAACTTTATTTTCATTAACATATGACATACTGTACGAGTTCTGTGGTATGTTATACACGTCGTGAATCCGCCTGTTTTACACGTGGGTTTAACGTGGTTATACCAATACCGCCTCGTTCGCTGGTGTGATACACTGTCGGGAGAAGGCAGTGCAAGCAAAATTCATTGTCGTACTGTACTATGCTCCAACGTCTATGGTCCCCACCTTGACCGAACCCGCACTGACCAGCCTGGCGAAGTTCATGGTCTTGCAACCTCCACGACCCATAATGGCGTGCAGTGGGCGCGCATCCAGCCGTGGAATTATCAAAGCGACTGGACCCGTGGCGCATCGCAAAAGCTCTCATTCCACGTGGCGCACGGGCTTGCATCGTGCACGTCTCGTGGCGTTCCGTGTTGTTGTGTTTGCTGGAACTGACGTCGCCTGGCTCGCGGTTAATAATCAACCGACTGCTGTTCATGAACTGACCACAAAACAAGTGTCAGACGCGAGGAGCTGCCACGTGCCTATCCCGTCGGCTAATTTCATAGCGCATACCTTCTGTAGTGGCTTCTGACCTATAAATACAGTGTATATATAATCGCATATTTTATTAGATTCAAGGTAAAGTGAAAACACTCTTGGTATGGGAAATGCTGTGTGTATACTGTTGCAAACTCAAAATAATAATAATTCGCGTCGTTGTGGAAAATATGAATGGGTTCAATGAGCAATGTCTTCTTCATATTACCGTCTCCAGGTAAAAACAAAAGTATTTCTTAAACAGTCCATCCATAGGCTTGTAAGATGGGCAGCTACCGGCATTGATTCAAGTCTGACTGCTGATGAGACACTGCATGTCGAAACCGGGTTATACTTGCACGATGCGTATTTGAATCAATGCCGCTGAAATTGTGCCCTCCCAGACGGCCGTCCGTTTGATGGGTTGGAGAATAAAAATGTGTTTACGTTTTCTTATGCCGAGAGACGGAGATGTGACGGCAGCGTTGTCTCCCAGCGCTCGTGCGGGGGAGCAGTGGCGCAGTGGTTAGCGCACAGTGTCATGATGCCGACCACGTGGGTTCAATCTGGGTCACGAGTGACATTTGAATCGATCCTACACCATCGCCCTCTTTCCCCTCCCCCCAACAAAGACAACGATTCCTCCCATAGCCTTTAACTGACTAGGGGCAAGTGATGTTAGCGAGCACCTAATGAAGGCAGGAATAATACACGAGGGGGTGAGTGGCCAGCACCACGCCCGACCGCCTTTGTCTCCCCAGTGGCAATGTTTACACACCGCACCAGGTACTGATTTTAGGCTGAGTCGACCTAGGGGAGACTCAGGACTGGTTCAGATAATCGCCACTGGCGTTGGCCGTGAGTGGAAATCGAACCCGGGTCACCGGGTCACCGGGTTCGTAGCACAGCGCGCTAACCGCTACACTATCGCTTCCCCCACCGCACCCTCATGCAAGTTCACCAACCCGCGCAAAGTCGGTGACGTATGGTCAAACAACGTACATGGCCGAGAAAATTTGGAGAGCCCTTCCAACAGCAGATTGACCAACAGGCTGTGCATACTATAGATTGTTTCTATTGTTTTTCCATTTATGTAAAGGTTGTGGAACCCTTTTTTTATTAACTAGGTTTTTTTCAAACAGCCACATAACCAAACCTTTTGCAATGTGACATGTTTTGTGTGAAACGTATGGCGCTTTAAAGTGTTTTTTTTTTGTAATTGCTCCTTCACGTCATATACAGGACTGTTGATTTATACCGAGTCGGTGCCGGGCACCTCTCACCTTTATCAACCAACGCTGGCCACCGTGGTGAAGTATGGTCAAACGGTGTCCATGACCAACACGTTGTTGAAAAGGGCTGTAGATTTATACTTTTTTTTATTGCAGGTACATCCAGCTGTCGATAGACAATAACGCATGATCAGTTGCGAGCTTTCACTTGCGAGCCTGCCCCACATGTGCATTAAGATTGAATTGATCCCTTGCATGGAGTTGAATTCTTCAATGTTGTTTTTTAATCTCTAAAGTGGTGGTTGTGCCAGACTTTGGGAAATTGCACTCTGCACTTCACGCCAAGAGACAGGCGCTGCATTGCGCGACTTACTCGAGGTTCAGTGAACTCGGTTGCCCCGCAAACCTGGACGTTTGGCATGCTCACAAGCACGGAGCCTGGAGTCAGAAGCACTACTCCCATTACAAATCCATTGGGGATACTGCGTTTGGCAGCGGCAGCACAATTAATAAAAACACACCAAACAGCTTTGTTATATCCACCACCTTGAAAAGGAAATGATATGAGGCGACGTTTCAGGCAAACGCCCTTGTGAGTTGCTGCCAAGAAGGGTCGTTTCCCAAAAGGTCACTTATTTATTTACTCTCTTCTTTTAGGGCAGTGTTGTCATTAACGATTTGTTGAGTTTTTGTTTTAATGCAGGACATCTCTGGGCAGTCAAAGCCATTATTGGCGCCTCACATGTTCCTCCTGGTGTTCCACTTGTGTGGACTCTGCATTCCTGGTCCTCTTTCTCCACTCATTCAAATACCCGACTGAAGCCATTTCCACGTCCACTCGATACCATCCTTCATATCCTCGCCACTTTAAACCACTTTCCTGTTGGCCAGGTACTTCCAGGTTCATCATCTTCGTCCCATTGATGAGTTTCCTCTCTTCCTACGACAGCCATCTAAATCGACTTTCTTTTAACGTCACTTAGAGACGGGTGATCTATTTTGATGTTAACCAAGCAGGGAATGCATGTAAGGCATATTCGTAAACATGAAACCACACGAAGTTTCCTTAAAGTAGAAATATATTTATTGTTTATATATTTGCGAGAGACAAGTGAACAATATAGTCGAACAATGTGTAAATAGCATAGGCAGTGTTTAAATTCGCAGTTCAATTAAATATGCAATAACGGAAAAGGAAATTTGGGAATCTGTGGATCTGGCTAAGTCGTTACACTGCGTATCATGATCCCTCGACACAAAAACTCACACCACGGTGGGTGCAGGTTGAGAAGTCGTGTCAACTCGAAAACAATCGAGGCTAAGGTCCCATTCATCTCAAACGTGAGCCCATGTGCGTGATTTTTCTGGCTTTAGGATTGCCCTCCGCGCAGGCGGGCTTGCAATTGGATGGTGCTTTGTGCCCTGATGTTGTAGGAACGCAGTGTGCGTTCGCCTTCCAGCTGCTGGCTCTCGAAGGTGAGAATCTGCTCCCTGGGGGGCACCCCCTCCTCCCGATGGATTTTCACCTTCAGCTGCTGTACCCGGTCCGAGAGGCTCACGTCGTACGTTCGGGTGCTCCCTTGAAAGTTCACCACGAAGATCTGGACGGTCTGCAGTGAGGACAAAGTGGTACTATTAACACAAAAAGCGACCAGGACACACGACAATTGAGCACGCACGAAAACCTGCGTACACACGCCTACTTCCACAGGCAATCCTGTGTCAGCCGTTGAAATTACACAGCACGTGGTTGAACAATGTGCATCCAAATGTGATTTATGTATGGGCACTGGTTCAATACTCGTATCAGTAATAACATATATGTCTCATTCACAACATCCCTTACTGAAGCACATTACTTGACACGTACTTTGGATGGCTTCCCAATCTTTGACCGTAGAGTGGCGATTTGTCCAACAGGCGCCTCCTCGATGCCAATGACCTTGACTCTCTCCGGATCCCACACGCAGTCCTCCTCCAGCTGGCTGGTCACCATCCCGCACCCTGCGGGCACCCAGGCGGTGTCGTAGCCCTCGTCGTGCCAGGTGAGACGCAGGGGGTGGTTCTGGCTGTCGATCTTCTTGACCTTGCCCACATCCACCTCCAGCTTTAGGATGACCTTCAGGTGATCCTCCGTGTCCAGCGGGTACCGTCTGGCCTTGTCTATGTTGCGGCTCACGTACACGCCACGGCCCAGCATGCCGCCGGCAGACTGTCTGAAGCCCTCGGAGCAGATGGCTTTGGCCGAGGCCACGTTGGTGCCGTGGTACATGGTGTAGACGCGGTCATCCGTGGGGGTAATGTCCGCTTGGAGCGACCACGTGGGCGCGATGGTTTCCGAGGAAATTGTCTCGGGATTCATGATGGAGGAGAGAATGTAAGAAACTCGTGCACTGTTGTAAACAAAAGCAAAAGGCGTAGATATGTCAGAGCTGCCTGCAAATGCAATACAATTTCGCAGTCTGCACTTACAGAATGTCCACATGTGAGTGCAGCTCAAGATGCACGACAAATATAGGGGGCACGTGGGGGGAGGGCTCCGAATGGAGGATGAGTTCCTCTTGAACTTGTCATGATTTTTGCAAGCGGCAGGGGGAGGCGGAGAGAATATGGAAAGGCGGCAAACATCCTTGTTCAAATATTATTTTCGAGGCCTAAATGTTATAATACTACAGTACAGCCCTTTGTCAATACAGTCGCGGGTGGGTAACTCACCGTACAGTGCAGGTAATTTAGCATACGTCACACTCGTGGAGAAGCACGGCCGATTCCTACCCACTGCCACTCAGCACACGAAGTCGGCTATCACTATTCCAGTCTCACCCGTTCGCTTGTGCTGATGTTACACTCACTGACACGATCGCTGATCTCTCTCTCTCTCTCCTTGTCTCTATATAATGTTCTAGATTGAACACTCATGTCTGAGTTTAGTTTGTCTTACCCACGCACCTCCGATTAGCACGGTTGGCTACGTACGAGGTTCAACATACAAATTTGAGATGTATTTTAAAACCAGTTTAATTACAAAATGACACTGCAAGAAGCAAGTTTCAAACCAAAATGAAATGTCTGTGTTATGTTTTACATGGTTTGTCATTGCTCACGTAACATTTCCGTAAATAATAAAGGACTGTACATATATGAATATATAGCACATCCTTGCACCGGATAGACCTGATAATTCCTTAAACGGAAGCGTCGGTGTGCTTAAACAAGAGGCTTTAGTTGCACACGTGCACCTATAACTCGGCACCTACGTTCACCCGACAAACAAAAGAACAGAGGCTCTCCAATTACCACTCACCTGCAGTTGTGAGACTTCTACAGTCCGCCGTGGGTCACAACCCTCGTCGTAGCAGATGTGAGGATTTATTTACCCGATTGTATCCTTGCCTCCGAGGCGGCCAGGTGTTTGTTCGGAAGGTTGATGTCGGATGTTTACGACGCGCTACTCGCGAGCTGGTCTTTATACTCGTCGGTCACGTCACCCAGCTGTTCGTGAATTCCCCGAAAAGGTGACGACGGACTTCAATGCGGGGCGTCTGATTAGCCGCGTAACTTCCGAAACCCCACGAGTTCGTTCGTTCCTCGACTTTTGCCGCCGATGAAGAAAGCGCTTCTTGGCAAATACGGCGGCGTCAGGCGATGAGGGCGTGGCGGCGTTTGACGATTTCGCCCCCGGTGCTGCTACGTGCTCCCTTGCTGTGCCCTCTCCGTTCCGTCGTAATGCGCGCTGCTGACGGCCTACTGTGTTGAGTGCGATATTGGCACGTAGAAAAATAAAGTTTGGTTTGCAGTGCCCCGCTCGCTGGTATAAGGAGCTCTGCACGAACCGTCAGCGGTGACGTCCATACAAACAAAAGCTCAACACATAGTCGTCAATAACACTGTCCTAAAAACATTTAAAAAATATATAAGAACAGACGACCTTTCTGGCAAAGTGGCGCTTATTCGTTGGGGATACATAGTTTGTCAGTTTAACACGTAGGCTTTCGCGACCAATATTATTCATAAAGGTTTTTGGATTAGATCGCGTTATTTAACAGGTCCCTGCAGGGTGGGCTGGTAGGACAAGTCTCTGCGCTGTCTATTGCTGATTTTACACCCAACAGCACGAGATTTCACTTCGTTAAAGTATTGAAAGGGGACGGACGGACGGACACATTAATCTATTGCAGGCTGGTACACTCAGTTTACAATTTCGTTCCTACCAGTATAAATGTGTCGTACCCCTCCACCCCCCGACACGGCTAAACAGTAAAACATGTGTAACGTTTACAAAGGACAAATAGTTCACTACTTTAGTCCACCGGTGTGTTGAAGAGTGAATCAACATCATTTAAAATTTGAGTACGACGATGTAATTGCCAGCGAAACGTCGTACTCAACTTTTAAGTGATGTTTATTCACTCTTCAACACACCGGTGGGCTAAAGTAGTGAACGATTCGTCTTTTGTAAACGTGACACTTTTTTACTGTTTGGCCGTGTCGGGTGGTGGAGGGTTACGACAAATTTATAAATAACGCGATCTAACCCAAAAACCTTTATTATGAATACGTAGTTTGTGCCTATTTATCACTGCCGACGTAACCTTCACATGAAAGTTAAATTCAAGTATATGACAACCAGGCAAGAATCCATTGGGGTCGGAGCGGTGGTGCAGAGTTGAGCGTACGGCACTATGAACCCAGCGACCTCAGCACGAAATCCCAGCAATGGCTTACGCACGTGGCGAGTGGTGTCCACTTCACCAACCCGAAATGACCATTGTGATAAATGATGGTCAACCCCCCCCACCTTCAACCGAAATGGTATGGGGAGGCCTTCATCCAGCAGCGGATTGAACTTAAATGAAAAGAGAGCAACACTCGCCCCCCCCCCCTTCTCCGCATCTCCCCAATGCTGATGTTACTCCAGTGCAATTATTTAAGGCCGAGTCAACCTAGGGGGGCGGGGGGTGTAGACACACCTCGCCACACGGGACTCGTTGCTCTTCCCTACTGCAATTAGACGCGCGTCCTTCACGCGCGTCATTGCCGGCTTTCTGGCCATACGGCGTCGATCTTTGTGCACTCCGGATGATGTTGACATTGTCATGCCGGCAGCATCACGCGCTTGCTGACAGCGCCGTGGTGCGAACTGAACGTTTCGGGTCCCGTAAGCCCAGGATGGTGGCTTTTTTCAGTTTTCAGTGGAATTTTCAGTTTATTTATTTGGTACAGCCCTGTGAGCCATTCGGCTCTTGAATCGGGTGCAACCGCAACAGACAAAAAAAAAACATGAACAAGAAAACATCTTAAAGTGACAACGCGCAACAGAAAAATCCAGGAAAAAACCGCAAAGTCTTCCATAAAAAGCACTTGGCACGGGGCACGCCGAATAGGTCCTTCCTGCCAGTAGGCAAGTGCGCTGTAGGATTACTCATCCATCAGTCGGATTGCTCAATCAACCATCTTCGCTGTTAATGAACTGCTTTCTTATTCGTGTTAAACGATGCAGAATACATGGCGTCGTCTTTGTGTTCTGATTGCCTTCGTTGCTGCTTTTGCCACGTTGGTGACTCGGGTTGCTCTTGCAAACGACTCGTGCTGGTGTCTTGAGTTCGCATGGGGTTACACAAAATAAACATGATACTGTACTTGAAATGTATTCATCGCTTTATCTCTATGGCCTATGTACGCTGAATGGTCATTACCTTTCTTTGAAATGTCGCCTATTATATATTTTTTCCTTTTAAGGCGGAGTTGACCAATTTGTTGATTTTTTTTCTTTGGCTATTTGTGCTTGTGCACCGCTGCCAATACAGTATCGCCAAATAATGTTTACCTATGATTGGTGTTGGCTGTTTTCAGCGATTTGATCGATACACCGCATCCATCTCCAAGTAGGAACCACAATTGTGCCATTAGAGTCAACATGATACATGGAGAGCATTGGCAATGATGGTTTATTTCATATTTGGGAATCCCTCGATATACAGAACAGATGCGTCCATTAAAAGTTATCCGTAAAACGAAATTCCGTTTATCGAACCTCGTTTTCCCACTGACTTCAATCTACTGCACACATCTATGAAAAAAGAGCTTTATAGGTCATTGGATTTCTCCAGGATAAATAAACATTGTGATCTAAAACCAGGATTCCAAACATTCCATTAATGCGAATTGAACGCAACGTATGTCGAAGTTCGTTCTTCCCACAATTTATAAGTTTACGTTACGTAGCGAAATTCATGCCATTGAGTTGCCGTTATAGCGAGGGATGACAACATTTTAGGCACGTGTCATTGTGGTTAAAGTGCCGCACTCACAAACACCGACTGGGGTTGAAAGTAAAAAATTGTCTCCATGGTACGGTTACATAAATAGACTTTTGCAGTAAGTTCACATGGGCAGGTCTGCAAAGGTCATGTTCCCGCCATGGGAATGTGGAATACTCCCCACCGGCTCAGCGGAACCCGTGCAGTGAGGCGTGAGAGCGAGCGCGTGTTGTGTTCAGAAAGTGCGCGCGTAGCGGTGATGACGTGGCGGGTTTCGGGAAACCACCGAAAGCGAAATCCCTCCTCGCCCCACCACTCTCCTCCTCGTCCCCCCCCCCACCTCCAGCACCACAGTCACAACTAACAGCAGCAGCGGCAAGTTTCGGAAACCCGAAAGGGAGGGCTGGCAGCTGGGAGGAGCCGACACCGCTGTGCGGATTGAACTCAGTCGGAGAGGCTCTGCGGGAATTCCCCAACCCCGGGGCTCTGCGCTTGGAGGGGGAGGCGCGTGCGCGACTTTATAAGGAGGGCAGCGCGCAACGGCAGGGACACACGCAGCCTCCTCTTCTTCTTCTCTTGTGGGACGAGTCAAGTGGAGCAGGTGAGATCCCCGCGGTCGCTGCGCTCTCTGCCGATGCTGCCTCTTGCGTCGAGCGCAGCCCGGCTGCGTGCAGTGCAACAACAACAACAATAGGTTGTGGGTTGTGCGATGCTGCTCTCGTTTATTGTTACATTTGAATCACAGTTCCGCTAACATTTTTTTTTATAGTTTTATTTTGGTGATTTCGAAAATGTTTTGGATTAGCCGTATTTGTTTGTTGTAGTACAGAGTTAGACTGATAACTTTAATCTACATTGTCTTATGGTTGTTGTTGTTTGACTTGCATCCCACTGGGATTTTTGCACACAGCGTTGACATTCGGTGCTTTTTCTGGAAGACTTTGATGTTTTTCCCTGGATTTTTTGTTGTTGCGCGTAGTCACTTCAAGATGTTTCTTGTTCATGTTTTGTTTGTTGCGGTTGCACCCGATTCAAGAGCCGAATGGCTCACAGGGCTATACCAAATAAATGAACTGAACTACTGTGGAGCTCGACTCAGGATGCTCCGACTTGAGTCGAGTTGCTACGCCCAGTGACCTGCACGGCCTCCTGCTGCACCTGGTACACCGCGTCCCGTTAACCTCTCGCTGTGGCTACGAGCGAAGCTACTGGACGGCAGTGCAGTACGATTGTTGAACGACATTTCTATGTCACCGCGTCTCTGCTGTGAACCTTCGCCAACCCGTACTGACGAGCGTTGAAGTATGGTCAAATGACCGACCGCCGAGGATTGGAGAACTCCTCATCCAGCAGTGGTTTAACAAAATAGCTGTAGGTGTATATATTACATTAACTTTTGCAACAATAGGCTCCACCTGTTTGTAACTTTGCCACACGAGGTTGCTCGACAAATACGAACGTAGCCTATGATGACGAATTAACGAAGTGCCATTTCGCCTGCTCGTGGTTTTAATTGCGAGGCTGCGTTTTCACCATCCCCGAAATCGCGCTGCGTTTTTCAGCACCGCCTACAGATCCTCTCGCCTTCACCGCTCCACGACGATGGACTGCTCCGAGACCATTGGCGACCGCAATGGCCCCTGCTACCTGCATGGAGGAGAGAGCCCCAAGGATGACCGGCGCTACATCATGTACCACGGCACCGACGTGCAGGGGGCACACGGCATCCTCACGCAGGGGTTCAGGCGGTCCGCACGCGGCATGCTGGGGCCCGGCGTCTACGTGAGCCGCGACATCGAGAAGGCGAGGCGGTATCCGATTGGGAAGCCCGAGAACACCAAAGTGATTCTGAAGCTCAGGGTGAACGTGGGGCGCGTGAAGAAAATCGACGGCCAAGACCACCCCCTTCGTCTCACCTGGCACGACGAGGGCTACGACACCGCCTGGGTGCCGCGGGGCTGCGGGATGGTGACCAGCGAGCTGGAGGAGGACTGCGTCTGGGATCCGGAGAGGATCACGGTCGTTGGCGTCGAGGAGGCGCCCAGCAGCAAAATGAAGACGACGTTTCTCGCGATGCTGAACCCAAACGAGGTGAGTGGCACGCACTCACTCTGGCAGGCAGGCACGCGCAACAGCAGTGGTGTAGCTGCACCAGGCGCAACCACACAATGCCACCGACCTACCGGATACACTTCTTACATTCGCACCGGGCAACTTTGTGAAGTTGACAATATTTTTGCCAATGGCTGAAGGCCGACGGTAACATCGCATCAATATTTGCGTGCATGCATATTTGTGAACACGTACAGGCGGTGAATGCAACTGTGCTGTTATACTGTACATCAAACAGAACGCAACATAGATGGCAAATGCAAGCTGAAACGTGACTTGTTTTTTACGTTTAATGTTCATTTACATATTTCTACACGATACATCGTTGGTGAAAACATTACAGTGCAATCTGAATGTTTTAATACTTGTTTTCTTTTAACTTTATTCTCACGGGGTAGTCAAAAAGCTGCCATGCCTGAGCCCCACTTGCCGAGTAAAAAAAATCGCCAACGCTTTGTAATGTACAGCACTTTAAGTGGATAGCTGTAGACTCTTCACATGCGTATCATCCTTCGTTGAAAATAAATGCCGTGCACTCTCCCGTCACCCCCCGCTCCCCAACGCAGGTCGTGCAGATCGTCGTGAAGGACCTGGAGGGAAATTCCCTGAGGCTGATGGCGAATCTGTCCGAGTCGGTGCTGGAGCTGAAAGCCAGGATCCAGAGCAAGTGGAAGGTGTCGCCCGCTCAGCAGCGCCTCGCTTACGGGGGCACCGCGCTGCAGGACGGGACGAGCCTCGCCAAGTGCGGCTTGAAGCAGAATTCCACCGTCAACCTGCTTCACGTGGATAACGTAAGCACTCGGAATCGCCAACGCGACCTCTGGCCGGTGTGAGAAAATGCTAAAAAAATTTAGAACGGCGACTTTGTGAATGCTTTTCTGTTTCAGCTATCCTTGACCTCGGGTTGGGCTGAGGAACATTTTCCTTACCTAGGGCCGAATTTGACTTTCACAGGCCTCTTGCAGGCCACAGATAAACACAGCTCGTTCACTACTCTTGAGTGCAAGGCACCCCGTGTAGTAACAGAAGTGACCGAGAACACTGAAATTAGAAACACGTTGCTCACAATCCCCTCTGGTGCCCAAAGAATGCAGCTAGCATGCAGTCGGATTCACTATGCATATTATAGTGTCACGTTGTTGCATTATATTTAAAAGCATTAACAGTACGGCCTGACAATGGCTTCATCTATTGACTGTAACATTAATTGTGGTGCCAGCCAGCCAACAGCACCTATGCCACCATTCACTTTGGGGGAATTCTAAATTAACAACAGCCTGTATGCCTGCAATTAAAACTCAGCGCATAGCCTAAGTGTTCTATTTAAGACCGGAACCAGGTGTATTGTTTCACTATTTTGGAAAATCGCCCGATGATGCTGGATGTAATTACCAGCGAAACGTCATACTACTCAAATTGTAAATGTTGTCGATTTACTCTCCAATACACCGGTGGGCTGAAGTAGTAACTAATTGGCGTTTTGTCTACATGACAAATCCCATATTAATTGGCTGTGTCGGGTGATGGAGGGATACGACACATTTGACTTACGCGATCTAACCCAAAAACCTTTGTTATAAATAATATTGTTCCCAAAAGCTTACGTGTTAAACTAGCCTAAGTGAAGATGGCATTTGTAACGCGATGGCATTGTTTTAACTTTTCATTTCATATTCCACGCAGGCCGTTGACGTCTTCGTGAAGACGCTCGCGAACAAAACGTTGACGATAGAGGTGAAGCTCTCCAACTCGGTGCTCTCACTGAAGCAGAAGGTCCATCAGAAGGCGGGCATAGCGGTCAACCAGCAGATCCTCACCTTCGGCAGCCACACCCTGGAGGACGATCAGAAGCTGGAGTCGTACGGGATTCAGCAACACTCCACCATCACCATGCAGGGCCGTCTGCGGGGAGGGTAGTCGCGTGCCCCACGCACGCGCCACCTGAAGAATTAACGGACACAATTCATGAGCGGTCTTCAGTCGAGTTGGCCATGGTCAGGGTGGACCTGCAACTACTGCCTTCTTCAAAATCTCCGCTTGTGTGTGGTCATCAGCGCCAGATGTACGATGTTGACAAAAAAAATGTTCATGCTATCGTTACTGCACTTATAAATACATTTAATCTGCAAAAAATATTAGATTCGAAGCTTTCGTGACTGTAGGAATTACTGTTTGGTTCTTTCGGTAAAGTCACGTAGAAATAAATTGTATGTGTGTCTCCGTGTCTATGTTTTGTCTCTCAAATTTACCAATCTTTGGAAGAACGTAATCAACCAGGTGGGGTGTTGACTGTTGTGTTGTCCGACTCTCTGTGTTGTATTGCATTATATCTCTAAGTTTACTAGGTTTGTTTTCTCATTCATTTGTACCTGATGATGGTTGTTTGTGTTGCAATCGAAACGTATCCTATTATTTAATTTAATTTCTTTCTACGTGACTTTACATAAATATGAATAGACTTTTACAAATTCTCATCCAAATAGTCATTAAGCCTATGATGGTTATTTTGGGATCTCGGACCAGTGATGTGTGTTGTTGGGTGTGGCTGCACACACGAGGGCCCACGCGAACTTCGTCTAAGAAGAGAGTATGCAAACGGTTGCAGTTGCATACGTAACATTCCATGTTAGTTTTGTATTTGTCTGTATATAGTAATAGTCTAAAGAAAATTGTATGTGTCTGAATGTGGTTGTTGATTAAACATAGACAATATGACCCACACTGCCCACGCCATTGCTCAAGTGCCTGTTTACCCATTTGAAAGGTATATTGTCTCGTTGTTTTGAGCTGATTGCCAATACTTGTTGAGATTACGATCTAAGGTTTCGCGTTTTGTTATTTTATTTTTATCTTGCACACCGCAAGTGTAGTGCGGCCATCTTTTATTTAACGACCCAACGTGCCGTATGATTATAAGCACAGTATTCTTAAAAGTTTAAATTCCTGGAATAATCTTATAAAGTGATAGATTTACCGGTGAAAATGAAACATTTAGTCCTGTTCTTTTATAGTTCGCACCTTTGATTTTACCATCTGTAACATGACGTTTAATTATAAATGCACTTTGACATGTCAGCTGATGGATCCTTATGTTATATTGTTCACTGTATAATGCATCAATACATAAATTGCATTTGTCAAGCTTCATAACTTGGTTCATGTTGTCTCATTATCTGAGGACTGTCCTGTAGTATGGGTGCCTTTTTGGAGTTTAAATAATTTGTACATGGCATAGATCTGACCACTATAGATTCAAAATAATCACATCCATTATTGTTATATAAATAATCCAGATTCACACTCCTACAGATTCCATAGATTCACATGAACGTAGATTTATATTAGAATATTTTCATTTGTTTAGCATTTAATACCTCAGCATCTCACAGCACCTTACATCACATAACAATCATTCAACGGGGGCCACCAGTGGCAGCTGCCCTTGTGTTTTAGGTGACTCAGATATAGTCAGCAAAGGGGGTATTAGTCTATCAGTAGGGGGCATTGTTTGCTACGTGCAATCAAAATTTAGTCATTTGCGGTTGATTAGAAGAAAGTAAAATTTGAACCATGATGGTGGCATACAACGGCCTACTTTTATCAAAATACATCATGAGCCTTTAGCATTCGCTGCGCGTGCTTTATAGTCGATGTTAACAAAGTGAATCAGATAAGAATAAAATGCTTTGACAAAAGTTGTACACCGCGTGACGTTACGAGACAATGTCAGAGAATTAGATTGGAGAAACAAAAACGTTTTAACGGAGACATTTTTAACCATCTCAGATTTGCTGACGACACCACACAGTCTTCATAGCGTCCGATGGAAATGACCTGCAGGTTAAATTTTGATTTAAAGCTTTCGTGACTGCAGGGATTTATATTCTTGGTTCTTTCGGTAAAGTCACACCTGATGATGATTGCTTGTGTTGCAGTCGAAACGTCGTGAGAATTTTTATTGTTTTATATTTTTATTACATTATTTTATTGTTTCCCTTCTACGTGACTTTACCGAAAGAACCAATAATATGACCTGCAGGTTGTTATAAGAGCTGAATGAATAAAGCTACAAAGTTGGATTCAGCACAAATATGAGTAAACCAAATGTCACGTCCAAGTTGGCTAAATAACTGGGGGGGGGGGGGGGGGGGGAATAGTACTAGATCTCAAATGAATTTATGTTTCAATATAAACGAACTCTGGCCACTGGTGGCCTTTAGTGCTGTCCCGAACGTGCGGCCCACCGACACTCCACAAAGTGTGAAAATACCCCATCAGCATCGTGCTGCTGTCAAACTCCAATGGTTTCAAATGTGCGGAGGCCCTCGCACTGTGGTCTCCACTCCTTCAACGGAGGAGGAATAGCAAAACAACACCAACTGTCTCCTGAATCCCTCTCGTCGTGCGCAGTCGACCTGAACGCTGGCTGGCCTCTTAGCTCCTAAACATATTGCTGCCGTACGCGGGAATGTAACCCACACGTGGCGATGGCTGGCCTAATGATTGTGGGAATTATTATTTTTTCTTCAACGAGGTTTAGCACTTTTACCATTTTTTCACACACTTTTATTGAACTTGCCCTGTTGTCTGTTTATATTCTTTCAAATCTTCGTGGCTTAACATCTTCGGATCTACGAAGCCTAACGAGCTTAGCGTCTCTCATACGTTACAGTACTTCATGATCGCAAATATGACAATTAAACGCGTTATACGTATCGTGTTGTTCTAAATGTCATTTCACTACTTTGCAATCGGGGTGATCGTTATTCTAATTGTAACAGCCGTGTTTCGTGCCGCGTGCCATCAACCTTTCATCAAGTAGACTGTTGCATAGCAATGCGCATGCTTTCATTTTTTATAGGGTCAAGGGTTCACATAGGCAAGCCATCAATTTCACCTCTACAGGGTAATAAAATAGGAACCACTTTGTGTGAAGTGGTCAATAGTTATACATGGTCCCTGCCATGGGAATGTGGAATTAAAAAGGAGGCGTTGGAAAGCTTTAATTTAGCATAAATTTCACTTGAAAATATTCAACGTCTAACTAAAACTGGAGATGTTCAGAATATTATATTGAAATTATCTTATAATTGTAAAATATTAAAAGTAATTATAACTATAAAAAATGCTTGAAATTTTGTAGTAGAACGAAGCAAAATGGTGCGTACAATTATAACAATCATATACTCATTGCACAGAATGAAAAGCCCTGGTAGAATCATGAAAATCAAAATGTTTAATAACAATCATTACAATTTTTTTCTAAATGTATGCTTTTCCATTCTCCCATGGGTGCGATTGTGGCCATGCAATGGAGAAGCAAAATGCTCCTTCATGGAATAAATAACAGGTGACCTTAGTAAATTTAAATAATCAAATAGTTAATAATGAAAATTAATCAAAATTAGTGTTGTTATAACAATTCTATATTTATTTAAAGTTGTGCATTTTTATGTGACGTCACATTTCTCAACCCCCCCCCCCCCCTCGTCACAAATGTCTGACCCCCCCCCCTCACAGATGCGTGACGTCATTTATGGACGGCCCCTTTCGTACTGTACGTAGCCAAACGAGCGAGACTCTGACTCAGCTAAGGGTTTTACTGTTGTGTCAGCTTCCAACTTTTTTCTCTCTCACCCAACTGAGGCCAGCTACGTACCTCAATTCTCACTCCACGTTTGTACGCTGCAAAAATCTAGAAGCCGTCTTCTCATTGACCCAATTCTGTTTGCGTGCGGTAATATGTTCATGAGCTAAATCGCAATGTCGAGTTCTGCCGGCCACGACGAGAGGGCTTCTTGGAGAGAGTTCCGTGTAGTTTTGCAATCCGTTGAAGGAGTGTAAAGACTCGGGTGGGCAGGCTGTGGTCCATCGTGTGGATTTGCATGGCCACAATCGCACCCAACGTGCATGAACATTCACTACCATTGCGCTGCTGCCACCATGTGGCATTAAATCAGAGTTGCAGGTGCTGAGGACTACTTCAGGCTGTAGGGCCATGGCTGGGGGGTGCTGGGGGTGGAGATCTGTCGCCTTACTTCAAAGTTTGGACCGGAGTTATGAAAGTCTAGCAAAGGATCAGTCTCACATTACCGCGATATGCTCGAGGTGCCCCTTTTGCATGCATACAGACTTACACGTATTGTAGCCTTTCGTTAAAAGCCATTAATTTTTTTTTTTAGTCTTTAAATATACAGTTCACTGTTTCACGATTGCGATAAAGACAAAGATCCCCCGTGTAGCCTGTAACAGACTGTAGGGGCAAGTGCTGTTAGCGAGCACCTATGAAGGCCGGCACGGCACACGAGGGGGTGGGTGGCCAGCACCACGGCAGGCCGCCTTTGTCTCCGCAGTGGCAATGTTTACACACCGCACCAGGTACTCATTTGAGGCCAAGTCGACGTAGGGGAGGCCCAGGACCGGTTCAGATAATCGTCACCGCTGTTGGCCGTGAACGGGAATCGAACTCGTTGCGCAGCGCGCTAACCGCTACACTACCGCTCCCCCGAGACACAACAACAACAACAACCGCCATTCACCACTTGGTGGCGGTGACATCACCACGGCGCTTGTGCCAGGCTAGGTGCACGTTAAGGCCACGTGAAGTGTCGAACGCCCGCTGGCACGAGGTCACGGGACAGACCAAGGTGCCACAGGGTGACTGATTGAGATGACTGAGATGACTGGCTGATGCACCACCTGTGCCCCGTACCGTGCCTACTTGCTCTGTTTTAGCCACCCGGCACTCCGCTCGTTGTTGTGAGCGTCGCTCCTCCGCCCTCCGTTGTTGTTGGAGGGCGACTACCTCCAACTGTCCAGTAGCGTCCTTCACAAGCCTCATCCACAGAGGCCGATCATGACACCGCTGGTACGAGTCATCGGCAAGTCCACTCAGCTCCACGTCCTCCTGTACCACATCACTCCATCTCTTCTCTAGCCCGTGCCGCGCCCGTTTAGACCCCTCTATTCGGCCGAACAAAAGCTGTTTAGTTTAACACGTAGGCTTTCGCGACCAATATTATTCATAATAACGGTTTTTGGGTTAGATCGCGTTTATTTATAAATGTGTCGTAACCCTCCACCACCCGACACGGCCAATCAGCAAAAAAGTGTCACGTTGACAAAAGACAAATAATTCACTACTTTAGCCCACCGGTGTGTTGAAGAG